CTGTAATCGAACCCACAATTGCTAATGCTCCAGATACTCAACTAGTCTCAAGAAGGCCAGTTTCATTGCTTCTTTAATCAACAGTTTTCAGCTGTGCTAACATAATTGCAAAAGGGTTTTCTAATGATCAATTAGCCTTTTAAAATGATAAACTTGGATTAGCAAACACAACGTGCCATTGGAACACAGGACTGATGGTTGCTGATAATGGGTCTCTGTACGCCTATGTAGATATTTCATAAAAAATCAGCCATTTCCAGCTACAATAGCCATTTACAACATTAACAATGTCTACACTGTATTTCTGATCAATTTTAATATATTTCTCTCAAAAACAAGGACATTTCTAAGTGCCCCTAGACTTTTGAACGGTAGTGTGTGTATATATATATATATATATATATATATATATATATATATATATATATATATATATATACACACACAGTGAGGGAAAAAAGTATTTGATCCCCTGCTGATTTTGTACGTTTGCCCACTGACAAAGAAATGATCAGTCTATAATTTTAATGGTAGGTTTATTTGAACAGTGAGAGACAGAATAACAACAACAGAATCCAGAAAAACGCATGTAAAAATTTTTATAAATTGATTTGCATTTTAATGAGTATTGATAAGTATTTGACCCCCTCTCAATCAGAAAGATTTCTGGCTCCCAGGTGTCTTTTATACAGGTAACGAGCTGAGATTAGGAGCACACTCTTAAACGGAGTGCTCCTATTCTCAGTTTGTTACCTATATAAAAGACACCTGTCCACAGAAGCAATCAATCAATCAGATTCCAAACTCTCCACCATGGCCAAGACCAAAGAGCTCTCCAAGGATGTCAGGGACAAGATTGTAGACCTACACAAGGCTGGAATGGGCTACAAGACCATCGCCAAGCAGCTTGGTGAGAAGGTGACAACAGTTGGTGCGATTATTCGCAAATGGAAGAAACACAAAAGAACTGTCAATCTCCCTCGGCCTGGGGCTCCATGCAAGATCTCACCTCGTGGAGTTGCAATGATCATGAGAACGGTGAGGAATCAGCCCAGAACTACACAGGAGGATCTTGTCAATGATCTCAAGGCAGCTGGGACCATAGTCACCAAGAAAACAATTGGTAACACACTACGCCGTGAAGGACTGAAATCCTGCAGCGCCCGCAAGGTCCCCCTGCTCAAGAAAGCACATATACAGGGCCGTCTGAAGTTTGCCAATGAACATCTGAATGATTCAGAGGAGAACTGGGTGAAAGTGTTGTGGTCAGATGAGACCAAAATCGAGCTCTTTGGCATCAACTCAACTCGCCGTGTTTGGAGGAGGAGGAATGCTGCCTATGACCCCAAGAACACCATCCCCACTGTCAAACATGGAGGTGGAAACATTATGCTTTGGGGCTGTTTTTCTGCTAAGGGGACAGGACAACTTCACCGCATCAAAGGGACGATGGCCGGGGCCATGTACTGTCAAATCTTGGGTGAGAACCTCCTTCCCTCAGCCAGGGCATTGAAAATGGGTTGTGGATGGGTATTCCAGCATGACAATGACCCAAAACACACGGCCAAGGCAACAAAGGAGTGGCTCAAAAAGAAGCACATTAAGGTCCTGGAGTGGCCTAGCCAGTCTCCAGACCTTAATCCCATAGATAATCTGTGGAGGGAGCTGAAGGTTTGAGTTGCCAAACGTCAGCCTCGAAACCTTAATGACTTGGAGAAGATCTGCAAAGAGGAGTGGAACAAAATCCCTCCTGAGATGTGTGCAAACCTGGTGGCCAACTACAAGAAACATCTGACCTCTGTGATTGCCAACAAGGGTTTTGCCACCAAGTACTAAGTCATGTTTTGCAGAGGGGTCAAATACTTATTTCCCTCATTAAAATGCAAATCAATTTATAACATTTTTGACATGCGTTTTTCTGGATTTTTTTGTTGTTATTCTGTCTCTCACTGTTCAAATAAACCTACCATTAAAATTATAGACTGATCATGTCTTACAAAATCAGCAGGGGATCAAATTATTTTTTCCCTCACTGTATATATATATATATTATTTGTGTACTTGTTGGACATTTTACTGCATTGTTAGGAGGTAGTAACATAAGCATTTCGTTGCACCCGCTATAACATCTGCTAAACTGTATACACGACAGATTAACTTTAATTTGATTTTGATTTGATTAAAGTACAGTATAGTTTAATTCAGTACAGTACAGTACAGTACAGTTTTGTTCAGTAGAGTAGAGTACATGAGAGTAAAGGAGGGTACAATACAGTACATTATACTGTACTATAAAAATATATATTAATTAAGCCACACAAAAATGCACAAAATGGACAAAATCTGCTGAAATACTTTTTGTACATATTTGCACGAGTTGAATGTGAGGTTGTGTTGCTGTGGACGTTGAAATCATGGTGCATCCAGACTTGACAAAATCTGAACCAAACATAAACGTCTATGATTGGTTCAGATTTCAACGTCCGGCTGCACCAAAAAAAGATGTCTGGACAGGACCAGGCGTCGGTCCGTGCTTAGTGGGAATGACCTTGTCCTGCTCAACCTGGGACAGGGTGCATTAAATAGAGCCCCTGTAATGCTGCTCTGTGAGCCTAGAATTGTGAGAGCATCTATGAGCTTTAATCCTGTGCAAAAGTTACAGCTCCATTGCCCTCCCATTACCATCATAACTCTTTCAATCATCATCGTCTTCTGCTCCTGTTATGGACATACAGATACAGTGAGGCACCTAGGGCTGTTGCGGCCCTTCAACTGAACAACCGCCATGCTTGTAGAAATGTAGCCTTCTACCTCTGCATGTTTTTACTTTAGCTGGTGCCAATAATCTACTCTGCAACCTATATGCTACAACAACAGCAAACTATGTCCTATCACTCGTCTCAGCAAGGGAGTATCCAGCATGTCACAATGATGGTGCTGCATATGGTGCCACTGTTCATCAAGCCAATTGTCTATATGATCCATAACCAAGGGGGAATACTTATGCATTGACTATATTATAGTTATACAATTTTTATTTGTAAAAATGTGTAGAATTTTCTTTTCATTTTGACATTATGGACTATCAAAATGTGAAAGAATCCAAGGGCGGTGAATACTTATTTACATTTCCATTTTACGTCATTTAGCAGACGCTCTTATCCAGAGCGACTTACAGTTAGTGAATACATTATTTTTTTATACTGGCCCCCGTGGGAATCGAACCCACAACCCTGGCATTACAAACGCCATGCTCTATCAACTGAGCTACATCCCTGCCGGCCATTCCCTCCCCTACCCTGGACGACGCTGGGCCAATTGTGCGCCGCCCATGAGTCTCCTGGTCGCGGCCGGCAGCGACAGAGCCTGGATTCGAACCAGGATCTCTAGTGGCACAGTTAGCACTGCGATGCAGTGCCTTAGACCACTGCGCCACTCAGGAGTGACTTGACACGCACTGTATATACAGTACTTTTGTCCACTGGATATGTTTTTGGGTGGACTTTAACCATGTTTAGCCATCTTATGTGCTTGTAAAAAGGCTACATGTTTTAGGTTTGTGTACAGGAAATGTCATGTGCCTTTCAATCTTCAAAATTGGTCAGGGTGCTATTTTTTTTTGTGATTTTTTTTAAATTGTATTTAAAAAGCATAAATAGCCTACATTTTCAATATTGGCAAAATATTGTATTTTGATACCCGTGTCGTGAGCTAATTATTTGTTTTTTTAAGTAATTGTTATTTATGTTAAATATTTAATGTAGCCTAACATTTTTGAGGAGAATAAGGCGGTGAGAGAACCAAAATGTTAGAGCCTTGAAGTGTGTAGGCCTATCTCCATCTCCATGTGTTCTTGTAGAAATATGCTTTTAGGTAAACAGGAAGTCCAATCTCCTGAGGGGAAAGATGCGCTGACTGTGTGGGTGTGTGTGGACCATGTTAATTCCTTAGTGGTGTGGACACCAAGGAATATGAAGTTCTCGACCTGCTTCACTATACAACCCCATCGATACACTGCTTCTGTTGGTTGTTCTCTTCTGTCACAGAATTTCCAAACATAAATATTTATTTTCGACTCTATAAATAATAAATGGAAATAAAGCAACAATGTGGAACTGTGTGTTAGGGGTGAGTGTAATGGACAAACATAGCAACAGTAGCAGGTGTCAAATATGTGTGCTAGAAAACGTTTTAAGTGCATAAGGAAAGTAAGGGTTCGTGGTGCTTTTGCGGATTTTACAAGCTTTAACTTTTAACTTACAACAGCCTACCTTTTGGAATTGTATTTATTTCATAGGTTAATTATATCAGTGTACGCTATAGTTATCAAAACAACATACTGCATCAGATTCGGTCTATCTAACCCATTTAAATGATACATCAAGTGAATGAAGGTATACGAACAAATCAAAGAAAGATACAATTTCAAAAAAGTATTTGTATTTATTTGACTGTTTTCATGATATTGCTGTTATTACAGTGTTCTTATTATTGCTGTCATTACAGTGAAATTGACCTCTGAATGACATTCACTATCAACACAACTAAAGTGCTTAGTTTCGCCCTTTTTGATAACGATGATCTGTTTATTTTAGTTGATGTTTTATACAAAATGCAGGTGGTTCGGCTTACACCCTAACCATCAACTTTCAGAAATATTAAATAAGATGTAAGGTTTGTAATTTTCAGTAATTGTTTTCAGATAAATTTACATTTTGCTTTATCGTGTAACATGTTCCGGCAGGAGAAGAGATTATGTGTCTTTCTGGAGGTCCTCTCTCTTCTTTCTTTAAATATTATTTCAACACCACACAAATTAAAACAAAAGTATAGCAAGGAATAAAACATTAAATAGTATCTTATATTTAAAACCAAACAAGGTTATAAAACATATGTTCAAATACAAGTATTGAGAAATAAGACAAGTACACTGTACACCCCTAAGTTGATGGGACCGTTGCACATCTTTGGAAAATAACCCACTGGGCACACACTGGTTGAATCAACGTTGTTTCCACGTCATTCAATGAAATTACGTTGAACCGAGGTGGAATAGACGTTGCCTTGACGTCTGTGCCCAGTGGGAATTGTCTTCGAGGTGAGCATCATTTCCACGCAAATGTCCGAGCTCACTGTCTGCAACGGGGATTGACATCTATTTAGCTCTCATCGTCTGAATCACTGTTGGGAATGAGATCCCTCTGCAGCGACGATGATTTCAAAGTGCTCTTGTTGCTGTCCTGCTTGGAGGTGCTGGATAGGTCTATTGCCATGTCCTCACTGTCGTCGACAGCACTAGCGCGGTTGGGCCAGGACATGTCGCTGTCTTTCTCTTTAGTTTCCTCCGAGTAAGTATCCGAGTGGGTAGACTCTGGCGTACCTGGGGATTTCTTTACTATCTCCATGGACTTCTTGTGCATTCCTGCGTAAAGTGATAAAAATGAAAAACAATTAGTGTCAGCGTACACGTAACCTATAGGAAAATAAAGCCAAGTAAGTAGAGGTTATCCCTATTGGTAAACGAAAATGTAACATTTAGGCCTACTTACATTTACATTTTAGTCATTTAGCAGACGCTCTTATCCAGAGCGACTTAAAGTTAGTGAGTGCATACATTTTCATACTTCATCGTTATTATGTCTATGTTATGTTTATGTTAACTTAATGAAATATGTAGGCTACATGTAGGCCTATTTCAAACATTGTACAGTTACAAAACACATCTCAGCTATGTATTCAAGGGATTAAATACATATTTGAGTCTTATATTATTAATAAAGCAAACAACCTGCTGGCTCACCTAGAAGCCAGGGAGCACAGGAGCCCATCATCCCGCTCTTGGCGGAGTTGATGATTGATTCTGGCAGTGGGATGGAGTGGCGGACCATGGCACCGTAGAGCCCATACTCTGCCATCACACTGCTGCGTCCCCAGCACTTTTCACGTTTCCTCCACTTGGCCCGACGATTCTGGAACCATACCTGAAAAATAGGCACAAAATGTTAGATCTTTGCAAAACTTTCCTGATTAAACCATCAATAAGGCCATTGTAGGCCTACATGTCCGTTATAGCTTTGTAGTAGCCTACATTTTTTTATACGCCTACCTGTATTCTGTCCTCGGGCAATTCTGTCTTCATTGCTAACATTTCCCTGGCATATACGTCTGGGTAATGTGCTTCATGGAATGCCTTTTCGAGCTCCTCCAGTTGATGCGAAGTGAACACGGTTCTGTAAATTATTATTTTTTTAATGGGAAGCATTAATAAAGCAGGCATCCCAAATGCATTCATTGTACTAGTTTAATGTAATAGCCTACTCAATGTCTATTTTTTTGCTCTGGAGCATAATGCGTAATACCAACCTGTGCCTCCTTTTCTTTCTCTTCTGTGAGTTCCCTGTGTTTTTCGAATCGTTTCGATCACCAGAGAGACATTCGTCATCTGAAAAGAAAAGGAAAACATATATTAGAGACAAAAGGATCTATCCAAAATCAAACGAATAAATGTTAAATGAAAATTGTGCTGAAAAAGGTAATACATGGAGAGCTTATAAATGGGATATAGACTAATCGAATATAACTGTATCTCTCAAAAATTACATGTTGGAATGTTATCCAAAATAACAGATCCCATATTAGTATCGCGCTAAATCAACCTTGATCGCAATCAAATTTGAAATAAATTGAGCTACATGAAGAAGTGCCGATTTCAGCACCCCCCGAGAATACATGCGAAGTGGACAGCTTCCCTAAAATATATAAAGTCAACGATTTTAAGTGAGCTTGTACCAGAGTAGGGGTCTCTTTGTTGCTCCAAGTTCTGCATGAAATGGCTCTCGGTTCTGGACTGAAGGAGGGGTATGTGACTCGGTAGGAAGCAGGGGGCCCCCGCAGGTTGCTGAGCCGCCAAACTGCACAGAAACCCAAGACCAAGCGGCAAGGATCCTCCAGCGAAAGGGAATCCCATCCCAGTGCTCTGAATATCCCCGTTTCCTCCTACTCCATGAGGTCCGGATGGGCGAGGCTGGAGATCCGTTTCAAGACCCAGTAGGTCGGTGATGGCAAAGCCTTTAGACCTAAACCCAGATCCATGAAATCGTGACTTTTCGATCCCAAATGATGGAGCCAGCATCTTGACTTTGGGCTTTTCCTCAGAGCCATCCTCTCTTCCTATCATGGTTGTCATTGTAAAGCGCTACTTTCTCTTTCTCCTGTAGCTCGGGGTGATGAGGCGGGAGATGACAAACGGGAGGACAATTTATCCCTGTGTCATATCCAGGGATAACCTCCAGTGACCAATCAGAGCAAAGGGGACCCGTCAAACCGAAAGGAGGCGTTTCCCTTTTTCAATCCCAAAGGATTAATTGCCACCAATTTCCCATCAAATCCGATAAGGATTTTCTCCTCTGTCCTCTCTATCTGAATTGGTCCTAAGTGTTTTTCTCTGATGGCTAATGTCACTTATGTAGCCAGATCTGCAGGCTAAACAATAATGAATGCTTTCCAACTTTCATAATCCTATTTTGAAGGAATACAGGCCATGTGACATTTTGCAATTATCAACCTAAACTGAAAGTGAGGTTTTTAGCAATCAAACTTTTATTAATTTTATCTCAATCTGGTGTTGTTGGGCTCTGGTCATTGCTCAGTGATGCTTCAATGTCATTTTTGTATTATTTGTAAATGAACATATTATTTGTCTGAACATATTATATCCCAACGAAAATCTTTTTTTGCCCGTGTAGTGAAAATTAGAGAATAGCCTTTTGATTTGGGACTAGCCTATTTAGCGTGACAGCCTATATAGCCAAACTGGAAATAGGTTTAAAACACAAAAAGATTAATATCTGAAAATAAGTTTAAATCATTGGTTTATTCTAATCGCTCTCTGGGATTGAATGAATTGCATGTTAAATTCATTTTGGCAAAGAATATTATATAATAGGCTATAGCAAACTAATGATGCAACCTGCAGAATAAAGAACATTTAAATAGCCTGGAAAGGTGGCCTGGCGATGTCAGTTGACACATTTGGAAAGTGATTTGTTTCTGTCAATGCAACATCTCGATACTTTTTTATGTTTCCACGATATCAATATTTTTGCAACATTTCTTTGCACCACAAAGTGAAAAAAAAAGTCGGCTAGGCCTATGGATGCCAGAAAAATAATAACAAAGAAAATCCATAATTTGCATGCACATCACATCTTGCATTCAAATGACTTTTACAAACGACAGTTTACAACATCTGATTCGATATTTACAACTGATTTGGTCTCTTTCCACTCTAGCCTATTAGACACTCCTGATAAATAAAAAGGAAAGCGCGCATTGATTTCATATTAAAGAAAGGTCAAAATCTCCCTGGGTAATTGGTCTTTGAATTACAGTGTAATTTGTCTCTGAATAGAAAATGGTTCTACAATGTTGAACATTTCAATTTATTTGAGAAGAAATAGGGAATTATTTACGAAAAGTATAAGGGTGTCCATTAGGCCGCAACTGTATTTGTCCCTTGCTGTATAGCCTAAAATATTTTGCTCTCAGGGTATTTATTGACCTAGCCCATAAGTGGTCAGAAATGTGTGTGTGTGTGTGTGTGTGTGTCACAGTGTGAGTGTGGTCGCCCTATTTCCAGCAGCAAACGAGGCGCTGATCTTAATATAATGTAATATTCATCATTATGACGTGGATGACACATGGCCCTCTAAATACACTTTCACTAGGCCAGAGCAAACTAACGTGGAGAAAATCTCCCGGTGTAATTAGAGTTCGTAATCCGACCCTTCACCAACTTTCCTGTCTGAACAGATATTAGGATAAACCCGTAATTGATTTGACGTGGACGCAGAATCAGCTTTATTTTTGAAGGCTAGAAAAAGAAACTCCTTGTGTAAAAGTACATCTGGAAATTAGGACCAAATTATGGTAATTCCAACGGATTGAGTGGAAGGGGTGTGTTGCTGCCTGCAGGTACTTTGTAATAGAAAAAACGGAGTGGCTGCGGATGCTACTTTTAATGGACCTTTATTCATGACCTCTTAATATCCCGACGCTTCTGCGCATGTGCGGGATTCTCTACATATGCATCTGCTCTACTCCTAGGGGCGATACAGACGTAGGCAATTGACGCCCTACGAACGCCATTCCTACACACTTCTCAGTAGTTGGTATTCAGACTTACCTTAGGGAGGCGCACAATGAGGTTTGCGGGTGTGGTTCCCTTGCATACACTGAATACATTTAATTAAACCCCATAAAACACACCCAATGGGTCACCTACCAATTTGATCCGTTTTTTTTTTCTGTTCATTTCTCTCAAGCAATCCCTTTAAATATGGTGTACCTTTCATTTGATTTTGATCGGCACTAGACTTGAATGTAGACTATGGAGAATGCGTTCAGGATATAGAAAGATAGCCATGAAAACATGTGCATATTTGTCTCTGTTTCAGAACCCATGGGTAGATTTAAAAACACTGATTTTACACATTATTTATGTTTAGAGAATAATCATGAATCTTATGCCATTTAGCAGACGCTTTTATCCAAAGCGACTTACAGTCATGTGCGCATACATTTTTACGTATGGGTGGTCCCGGGGATCGAACCCACTACCCTGGTGTTACAACCGCCATGCTCTACCAATTGAGCTACATCGGACCATCTTAATAGAGCCTTTACTCACAATCGAATAAAAGTGGTTTGATTCATTCTGAAAGTTGCCACATTCAGTTCATCAATGGTAAGGTTGGAAGTAGTGTAGACTACAATATAATTATAATATGGAGAATAGCATATAATAGTATGATATAATAAATATACCCTAATAGCCCATACCGATCATGGAACTGTGTGATGGCAAGTGCTAGCTTGCTCCGTGGTCAAGTTCAAAGTAATGGTTTAAGCTCCAAAATTAGCTCCATAATGATTTAATAAGCCTACATGTTCCAATGTATTTTTACTACAATTTGTATTTGGCCTTCATTCAATAGTATCCACTATTACTTGACCCTCAGCCGCAACCACAAGGATGTGACAGCGTTTACAGAGGAAATAAATAAAGGTAGGCTAAATCAAATGATGTAGGCCTAATGGAATGATATGAATGTAGGGAAAGGAATGAACCCTAAATTGGCAGTTAAACATATGTGGTTAATTAAGTCAAGGTTAGAATATGGCATATCTATAGACACATCGCCACCACACCTCCATTTATTTTATCTCCACCCCCAAACGCATACCTTGCTGGCACTGGCACTGCTTAAATTCAAGGTCAGAATACTCATAGAGAGAAAAGTGCATAAAAAGGGAATAAAGTTCAATATACGCACCCGTAACTGGGGTATGAATTCCCCCCCTAGAGAACAGGCTACTCTGGCAAATGGTGCTCGTTTAATAAAGTTAGATCATCCTCGTCTGCCCAATGACTTTTCATTTAAGGAGGTGGTATGGTGTTGGTCTCTGATTTAAAAAGCAATTAGAGAAATCTTCTTAACCAAATGCATTAAATCAGTTGAATCTATCTCTTGAATATAGAGCCATGTGAAATATGCTTTTATGACATATATCCATCAAAGAGCATGTGGTGTGTTTCTCACACGGCTTTAGATCGAAATGGTTGTAAATAGCTAATAGTTTATGGTAAATCGTGGGATTCTAACATGATAGGCTCAGTTATTGGAGATAATAAGTGGACCATCCATAACATTGAACTATCCGAATTTAAAATGATATAAAATAGTAAAAGATTATTCAGGATAATCCACAGTTAACATCAGATAAGTGTTTTCAATGTCAATTATAAGAGGTAAGTCACTAGATCCTGGTTCGAATCCAGGCTCTGTCGCAGCCGGCCGCGACCGGGAGACTCATGGGCGGCGCACAATTGGCCCAGCGTCGTCCAGGGTAGGGGAGGGAATGGCCGGCAGGGATGTAGCTCAGTTGATAGAGCATGGTGTTTGCAACGCCAGGGTTGTGGGTTCGATTCCCACAGGGGGCCAGTATAAAAAAAAAAAAATAATAATATGTAAGTCGCTCTGGATAAGAGCGTCTGCTAAATGACTAAAAATGTAAAAAAATGTAAAAAATGATTTCATCATCCCATAGGATCAAATATAAATTGAATAAATCTTCACCATGACCATCATCAATCAATGAATTAGACTAGTGGGCATGCAGTAACAATTATTAGGCTTACTGCATTGACAATAACGAAGACTCTATACAGGCCCATATACCCAGACCCATACACCAGCGCCATCATTTGTAGGCCACCAGGCAAAGTATTCCATTTGTTTCAGCCTTTCTAAACCCAGATAGCAGGATATTTAATATGTGGGTAAATTGAGGAAAATTTGATAAACACAACATCCTCTCTAATTTAATGGAAATAACTCCCTTAAAATAGCCAGAAAAAACACAAATTTTACTCTTAAAAGAGTGTTTGCAGTGAATTGAGTGGAGGGGGAAAAAACATTATTTTAAGGGACAGATTACAAGGCTGGGTTTCATGGTGTCATCAGATGGGATTATCTGTGATGTAACTAATCAGTAAATGTTTCTCTGCTCATTATTTTCCTGAGAATATTTCCAGACGATTCTCCGCCACCAAGATTATTAATCTCTTAAAGCGCACATCAAAAATTCACTTTTTTCTCTAATTTTCTCTGGCTAACCCTGGAACATGAGGGTTGTTTGACTAATAGATGGGCCACGTGCCCTACATCTGAATAGGATCCAGCCACTAGGGAATCCGAGCACCAAAGATGGGTTTGTATGCGTTTAGTTTAGAAACTCTGTTAGAGCACTCTGGAGTGTTGACAGGGGTCATTTTAATGCCCCACCAATGCCCCCAACCAACTGCTCACTAAACGCATGGAAATGAAGAAAAAAGTGATTTTATGGTTTATGTGATTGATTTTATTTTATTTTATTTGTGGCTTAATGATGTATACCCATTGATTCTTGAAGTATATAACTTATGGATGCCTCATGCCCTTAGTTCAGCTGTTGTACCTCATCAGAACCCAAAATATAAGCTTGTTTTACTCCAATGTTTGTAAACAATGTAAACATAAACAAACACTGTACAGCCTCAAAACATGGTTAAAACTATAATTTCTATATCCTGCATGGTCAGTCATTGCACCCATAGCTCTGTTTACGAATTTGAGAATGGTTACATTTCTCTAGCCCCATCCCTCAGCTTTTTACCCAAAAAGTG